CGCCACGGCCACGCCTGGGGCTGGGCACGGGCTGCCGGCTGAGGAGCCCCGCGTGCCCTGCCAGCTGTGCCCTGGGTGCTCTGCGCACCGTCTCCACGAGCCCATCTCTCTGGTGTCCCATGGCTTGAATTAAACCCGGCATCTGAGTCACAGAACACGAGTATGCTTCAGAGTGGTGGGCTCGGCTCCGTGCGAGCTCGGCCCCAAGACAACGAGGCGCAAGGCCTCAGAGCATTGCCCTCTGGGCCAGCACAGCCCCACTCCTGGGAAGAGGGGGGTCCTGGCCTCACCATGTCCCTGAGGCCTTGCCACTGTGGGTGGTGGCCCTGGGGGTGGGCAGCAGAACCTCCTGAGTGGCCTCAACACCCTTGTGAGAAGCACGAGCCTGCCCTCTGGCCACACTGCCTGCTCCTGCCACCCGCTGAGCCTCGCTTCTGCCCACAAAGGCCGCCTGCTCACGGAGCCATCCCTGTGCCCAGGGAAGGTCCAGCGTGCCAGCCAGGGCCTGTCTCCTCCAGCTCAGGGTGGGCCTTGAGTGGGCTCGGGCGGGACAGCGAGTGCCGGGGGATCGGCCCTGTGCTCGGAGCCTGCGAAGCGCTTTCTGAGAGGGGCTACGCCCCAGAGAGGCTCTGAGGGTCGGACCAAGCCTGGGCGTGGTGGCTCCTGGTGTCCCTAGGCGGCACACAGCACAGGGCCTGCTCGCCTGTGGTCCTGGAAGAGGCAGCCTCCACTGCTTAAGGAAGAGGAGACTGAGGCTGAGGCCCAGGCCTGGCCAGGACCCTCATCGGCATCTCTGCTGACCTACGCACAGCAGCCCTTGCCAGGCCTGGGAGTGGCCTTCCAGGTGCCAGGCGCCCCTGGCCCCGCACGGCCCAGCCACCTGTAGGGCAGGGAAAAGGCCTAGGGGCCGAGCCCTGGCTGCTCTGCCAGGGAAGAGACTGGGCCAGGAGGACTTTGTGCTGGGCGGGGCCCCTGCCTGTGCACACAGGGCCACCCGTCAGAGCAAGCTGGCGGCTCGCGGCTCCTCCCGCTCTCTGCTTGGCAGCCAACACCGTGGGCCCCATCTGGGCCTTCCCCAAGCCAGAGGCTGGGCCCAAATCTGAGGCCCTGGTGGTAGCTTTGATGGTGTAGCCCCCCTGAGGAGGGGGTTGCCAGAGGAGGGTGCGAGTGAGCGCTGGGCCCCATGCCACCTGCCACCCCCCCCAGCTCCTTTGTGATCAGAACTGCCACCAGCCCCTGGCCAGGCCATCAGCAGAGCTGGTTCCGTATGGCGACAACCGTCCCTGTGCCTTGGGACTGTTGAGGAGACTCAGTGAGGTGAGCCGTCAAGGGCCAGGCTGGGAAACGGCAGTTCCCTTGTTGGCAGCCAGCCCGGGGTGGGGCCCAGAGGCCAGCATACCACGTCCACTTCCCAGGCCCCTGGGAGGGCAGCGGCCGAGGTCGGCGTACGGAACGTGAGTGGGACACCCTGGACGGTGAGTGCAGAGACAGCAGTCCCCAAGGCCGAGAGCAGCAGCAGGAGGGTGGGGTGTGTGGAGGGCAGCGCTTCCAGGGCCCTGCAGCCTCGCCGAGCGTAACCCGGGGCCTGCCTGTGGACAGCACCATTGCCTTCCGGGGTGCAGCCGCCTCAGGTTCCGTCCCTCGGGGTCTGGGGGAGTGAGTCCCCACAGTGTGCTGGGCACCAGCTGGAGGTGTGGTGGCCCTCCCCCTCCCAGGCTGGGGGCGGTTCTGATTGTCCCAGCGACCCAGTGAAGCCTCGTCTTGCTCCTGTCACTCCTGGTCACCAAGACCTGCGCTATTCCCAGAAAACGGGTGTCCCCAGCCAGCGTGGGAGAGTGAGAGCCGGAGCCTGCGGGTGTGGACATAAGCCGTTTATTACTGTGTGGACAGACTGCAGTGCACGGGCAGCTCAACACCAGGACGGCTGGGGCCAGAGCTGGCGGCAGCCCTGCCAGGTGGCAGTGCCATGCTGCGCTCGCCGGCGCTGCCAGCCACGCCGCCACCAGCCCGCCTAGGAGAAAACTCAGGAACCGTCTAATGAAGCGGGTGGTTGGGGGCGTCCTCGCTATCAACCAAAAGAAACGTACACTTAAATAAGCAAATATAAAATACAAAAAGACGATAGACCCGGTGTTCTGTGTCGATAGACTAAAAACTCCAGGGCTGGACCCCGCTTCCTCACGGCACGTGTCACAGGCTGAGACTGGGCGAAGCGGCCCCGGCGTCGGCGTGTGCCCTGTGCCCGCGGAGGCCCAGAGCGGGCGGCTTCCGTGTCCTCCGTCGTCGATGGACCGACGTCTTGTCGCGGCCGGGGCTGGCGCCGCCCTACGTGGTGCTGACCCCACTCAGCTCCTGCCTGATGGCTGCGGGATAGGCGGGGGGTCAGCGACAGCCATGGCGAGGCTGCCCACTGTGGCCGGCGCCCTGCCTGCCCCATGTGACGGACCTGCCTGGCGTCTGCTCCCCGCAGGCTCCTGGGGGCCTTGACACAGGCCTCTGGGTGGCCACCAAGCACTGGGTCTCACCTGCCAACCTGCCACGGGCCCTGCTGGCACCTCCCCGAGCCCCGCTGTGGAGTCGCCCTGTGCTGTGCAGGCCCGGGGGGCGTGGCAGGGGAGGGTCTGCTCAGAGGGCCTGTGACCCTCCTGCTGGCAGAGTGGAGGCAGGGGCTGGCCGGCCTGTCTGTCCTCCCAGGCCCTCCTGTCCCTAGACAGCTATCCTTTCTTCTCCTGGGAGAAACGCCTGACCTCCAGCAGGTCTCTCCCCTACCTGCCCTTCCTCCCTCCTGCCCTGTCCCACTCCCCTGGCCCCCATGGGCCAGACCTCACTGGGCCTGCGGTCAGTGGCCAGGAGAAAGCTGAGGGGGCTGGCGTCAGACCAGGCTGAGGTTTCTAAGCCCTGGCGCTGCCTCTGCCTGGACTGGGGTGGGGGGGCATGGCAGGATTGGGTTCCAGCTCACCCCGCCTCACCCCACCTCCACCCTGCTGCTCGCAGGTGGCTCCAGGCCCTGCACTCCCCTTCATTAACTCCTTATCTTCCCAGCCCAGGCCTCTGCGGAGGAACAAACAGGAACCAGGGCTGACTGCCTGGACCAGGGTGTGGCCGGGCCGGGCCAGGAGGAGGCGGCCTGCTCCTGCTCCCAGGTGGGCTCCTCTGGCCTCCTCCTCCTTCTGTGAGCCCCCTCAGCACTCTGCCACTGCGCCCCCACGCCTTCGAGTTCAAGGGATCCTCCAGCCCAGGTCACTGCTGATGCCCTGGGGCCACCAGGCCCGGTGTACTCCACCACAGGCCCTGCAGGCAGCTCTGCCTGCCGCCCTGCCCAGGCCTTCCCTTTCCTCTGGCTGCAGATCTGAGCCAGTTCCCTCCAAGGCCCTGGGGGCGGAAGGGCGGGTATGTTGCAGCGCCCGCTGTGCCCACTGTCTGGGGGGGGCTCCATGGCTGCTCCCCAGCC